GGTTATGAGAATGATTATTACAGACTGCCTACTTTAGCCAGTGGCAAAAACCAACTCAAATAAGTATCTTTAATAAAATTTCAGAAACAATACATATTGACTTAACTGAAAACAAAACAAGCAACTCTCTAGTGCTAGACATACAGCTCCGGTGGCAGAGGGCTTGAATAGCATGCAGAAAACTGGGCACGGGGGCACAGACCTGCAATTCCAGCACTCAAGAGACAGACAGACATGAGGATCAGTAAGTTTACTGTTATTTCAGCTAGATAGCAGGTTTGAAGCCAGCTTAGGATACATAAAACCCTGTTCAAAAATAAACACACAAAGAAAGAAAGAGAGGGGGAGGGGAAGGCAGGGAAAGGTGGGGGACAAGAGAGGAGAGGGAGAGGAGGAAGAGTAAAACTAAATTGCTTCTATTTGTTGTCACAATCTCCTCCACATTACACTTCTATCTGGGAGGGGAGCTCGGTAAGGTGCACGATGTTCTCAAGATAAGTGAACCAAATCCCAAAGGGAAGCTAGCTAGGATCAGGGAATAGATAACTCAAAAGCTTCAGGAAATCCCTGAAACTTACCAGATTCATTAGGCCCTTCCTTCCCCAAGCATATATAAGCAATAAGGACTGCTGAGAGACACTTTCAGACCAGTGAAGCTGCCTACACCAGGTTCAGTGAGGCTGAGGCACCTGAAAGAAGCAGACAAGCTCAACTGCCTAAAACACTCACAAACCAGTCAGACCATCCAACAGTCTCAATAGACATCTCCAACTTTTCTTGCTGCCTATGCCATGCTGGGCAGGCTTCTGGTGAGAGAATGGTCTTTAGTCACTTCTGCTCCTTAAGTAACCCCAAGAAAATTGACTGGTTCACCAAGTTGGACTTTCGTGGCTCCCTTAGCTTGTTCTGCTGTCAGGGTCTGCTAACCTATCTGGGGTGAGTAGACGTTTGTTGATATCCACTCCCAAGGATAGTGTCAGACACCACTACTAGATTATGCTGTTGTTTTTAAAATTTTTAGTTATTTGACAGGGTCTCGTGTAGCCTATGCTGGCCTCAAACTGACCCTGACAAAGCTAACCTAATCTTCCTGCCTCAGACTCCCAAGAGATGTGATTACAGGTTTGTGACACCGTGCTAAGCCAATTTAATTTGGGGGTGTGGGGTTGGAGAAGATTTGAAGCAAGGCCTCATGTCTCAAATTTTTCATCAACAAAGAAAGATTAGCTCTAGATATCTATTTTACAACATGGTAACAGTAATAATAAAATATTGTATACTCAAAAATAGTTGAGAAATCTTTGTTACATTTTATTTGGGGGTGGATGATGTTATTTGAGATAGGGTCTCAGTGTAGTCCAGGTTGGCCTGGATCATTATGCAGCCAAAATTGACCTTCAACTTCTGACCCTTTTTTCTTAGCCTCTACCTACTACTTAGCTTACTGAGAGACTTTAAGTGCCCTCACCACAAAACAACTAATTAATGGTGTGTGGGTGTGTGCTCAGGCACATGATATCCACACAAATGTATGTTCACCTGTGTAGGTATGTATATACAGGTGCAGGCATGTCTACATGGATAAAGGCTGGAGCTCCATGCAGACGTTATCCTCGGGTGTCATCTAGCATATTTTTTCAGACAGGGTCTCTCATCAACCTAAAGCTCACCAACCAGGCAAGGCTGGCTAGCTGGAGAACTCTGGGAATCCACGTATTCACCTGCCCAGTTCTGGGATTATAAACGTGTGTGTGTGCCACAAGGCCTTGTTTTCTTGTTTTAAACTTTCATTTTACGTGCACTGGGGTTTTGCCTGTGCAGGTATGTCTGTGTGAGGGTGTCAGGTCCCCTAGAACTAGAGTTACAGACAGTTCTGAGTTGCCATGTGGGTGCTGGAGTTGAACCTGGGTCCTCTGGAAAAGCAGTTAGCACTCTAAACCTCTAAGCCATTTCTCCTGCCCAACCCAAGGCCTTGTTTTTTTGGGGTTTTTGTTGTTGTTGTTGTTGTTGTTTTTTAACATGGATTCCAAAGATCAACTCAGGTCCTCATGTCTGCATGGCAAACACTCACCAACTAGGCTATCTTCTCAGCCCTAAGGTCATATATGTTAATTAGTTTTATTTAGCCAGTCCACACTTTATAACTACTTTAAAATATGATGTTTGAAATCATATACATATATTTTGCCAATTTTAGAACTAGATACGTGATTGTTTTTAAAAGCACACACTTGCAAGTATTACTCATTTTTTTTTTCATTAGAAAGTATTTTATTAGGATGGAGTGATATAGCTCAGTATTTAAGAGTCCTGGGTTCGAGCCCAACATTGCATTTACCTAGCATATGGGATCACATCACACTACACTACCCCAACACCACACAAAAACTGACCCTACAAACAAATTTTACAATGGATTAAACTAGGCTTTCTGGAATACACCTACAACACCAGCAATCACAAGTCCAAAGCAGGAAGGTTATGAGCTCATCCCCAGTATGACCCATAGAGCGTGATCTAGTTTTTAAAAAGAAATATATATATATATAAGCCTTGAGAGATGTTTGTATTATTATTTCCATTGTTTCATATCACTCCTACCTTATGAAAAATGTAGGGCGTGGAACCTGTCTAAATTATTACAGGAAATACCATTCTAAATGAGTCAGAAATGTATCTGAGCTATGGCAGACTAGGTGCAATTAGGATGCTTACCAAATGATGTTTGCTAGAAATGTTCATGTTTCTCTCTCTTCACAGGGTTAGTCCTGTTCCCCCTGCTAAGAATGATGCATCTAAACGTATCCTCGAGAGGAGCATCTCTGGGTAGCATCCCACATACCAGATATTTATAGTACATTCGTAACAATAGAAAATTATACTTACGAGGTAACAATGAAGCAATTTTATGGTTGGGGTCACAACATGAAAAACTGTATTATAGGTCGCAGCATTAAGAAGATTGAGAACCACTGCTCTAGCACCTGAAGGCTAACCGAATAATGGAACATAAATATATAGAACACTTGCATTCTTTAGAGTAGAGTTCTTTCACTCAAGATGAGGTCTCATGTAGGTTTAGATGGCCTCATACTTGCTATGCAGCTGAGGAAAACCTTGAACTTACTCTCCTGTCTTTGCCTCCAGAGTACTGTGGATACAGGCATGTGCCACCATGCCTAGTTTGTGCTGTGCTAGGGATCAAATCCAGGACTCTGCGCAGCGAGGCAAGCACTCTCTGCCAACCAAGCTATAGCCACAGCCCCATCCATGTTTTCGTTACACATGTAAACATGCTGGTTTTAAAGCCTAAGAGATGGCTCATTAGATAAAATGCTTGCTGCACAAGCCTTAATAACCTGAGTTCCATCTCTAGAAACCACAGAGGAAGGAGAGAATCAACTCCTGAAGGTTATCTTATGACCTTCATACGAGAGAACCCACAGGCACACATTTGTATCATATACACTCACAATAATAAACATTTAAAAGTTTTAAAATTCTGTGCTATACTTGAATTTCTATGGCATAAACCAACAAACCACACAGAAAGGAAAGTCATCAATACCCACCATGTAACTTGGAGACTTGATAGGAACTATAAATTTTTTTCACTTTTGGAGGGCTTAAGGAACAACAGCTTAATACCCAGAAATGCTACACAGTGACCTACCATTAATGAAGTATCATCAGCTTACATTAAAAACCAACTACTACCCAGGCTACATGTCCACTCGTTAATTTTACTCTTTTCTGTGTAGAAAGGTAAGGTCAGAACTATAACATTTTTTATAAATCCTAATATTGTAAGCAAAATTGTTATTCTATATTTTGTGTTTTTAATCTTTGTTTTGAAACAAAGACTCCTGTATCCCAGACTGGCCTTGAACTCAGGATCCTCCCAAGTGCTGAGATTACAAGTGTGCACACCTGGGTTAAGTAAACACAATTTTAAATTCTGCCTAAAAATTATAACCAGGGGCTGAAGAGATGGCTCAGTGATTAAAAACCCTGACTGCTTTTCCTTAGGACCTAGGTTCAATTTCCAGCACCCACATAGCAGCTCATAGTTGTCTAACTCTAGTTCCAGAGGATCCGACACCCTCACACAGACATACATGCAGGCAAAATACCAATGCTTACAAAAAATTAAAATAATAAATAAATAATTTAAAAAGATTTGTCTAAAACAATTCTATCAGTTTATGGTAAAAAGCAGTGAAGAATTTAAATTCTGTTACACTTAAAATTTCAGTTAAGAATTTCATCCTCAGAGGGTAAAAGTACTTGCTGCAAAAGTCTGGTGACCGAGTTCAATCCCAGAAGCCACATAAAGATAGGAGGAAAGACAAAACAGATGTCACAGAGTTGTCCTCTAACTTCTACACGTGCACTGTGGCATGGCCAAATTCACACACCACCACCACCACCACCACCACCACCACCACCACCACCACCATCATCATCACCATCATCATCATCATAAATACATTTAAAGACTAATGTCAACTTAGCAAGGCATGGTGGTATGTGCCTAGCGCCCTAGCTACTTAGAGGGCTGAGAATGCAGGAATACTTAAGCCTATGTATTCAAGGACAGCCTGGGCAACACAGCAAGACCCTATCTTTAAAGAAGAGGAAACCTAGATATGGTGGTGCAAGTCTATAATCACAGTACTTGACAAGCTGAGGCAGAGACTGACAAGAGTTAATGCCAGCTGGACTATGCGAGACTGCCAAGAAGAAAGAGGAAGAGAAATTTCAATCCAAGAAGTAGGTGCAATGTTCTAGCCAATACAGACTTCCTTCAGGATTCTCACTAGTATCTATAAGAAGCATGCATAGTGCTGTAGGTAAAAACCTGAATGTCATTAGGTTTGAACCACTCACTATGTGCTCTGTGATAAATTACTTAGCATCTGTATATGAATTCCATCGCCTGAAGATAAGAGTAAAAACTACAGGCTTCCTAGAGTGTTTTGAGGATGAAGCTATCTTACCGGTGATAGGCTTCTCGGCGATACTTCTTCAAGGCGTGTTTATCCATGTTAGCGGGCACATCTGCTGCATTCTGCAATCGATCACTCCAGGAAGTAGTCATTTTATTTGTATGATGAATTCTAGAAGAGAAAATCAACAATTTATAGTTGTAACTGGCACTGGTAAACTAACATGCCATTTAAAAATTTTTTTTAAAAAAACCGTAGCTGTAAGACATACACCTTTTGCTGGGTGGTGGTGGCACACGCCTTTTATCCCAGCATTTAGGAAGCAGAGGCAGGAGGTTCTCTGTGAGTTTGAGGCCATACTGGTCTACAGAGTGAGTTCCAGGACAGCCAAGGCTACACAGAGAACCTGTCTCAAGAAAGAAAGAAAAAAAAAAAAAAAAAAAGCACACATTAGGAAAAACATGTATCAGGAACAGAGTGCAGAGCTGAGCTTTGCATTAAGTACTTTTGACAACTAGGATATTCTTAGATTGCAGTTTCTTGAAGTCTTCACTTGTTCATTATTTTACTGCTTTGTTTTTACTACGGCTGGAGATCAAACCCAAAGCTTCACACAACTAAGCAAGTATCCTAAAACTGAGCTATTAAAATACCAATGTTTGTGAAAACACCTAGAATAAAACATTCAAACATTGCCTTCATGAATCAGTGCGGCTGTGATATCTCTCACTCCCAAGACCAACAAGAGATCAGGCTGGCTAACATTCCTTCATGGAGGGAAGACTTAGGGCCTGCATGAAACCCACCACTCCTCAAGATTATGTAAGGGGTGAACTTCTTCAGTGCCACAGACTTTCATTGAGCAGTCCATACTGTACACAAAACTTTACAATGGTAAAGTTGCCTGAGAGTTTCTCAGGAGACTAGACAGGTCCTAGGAGAACACACACTATTATTCTGCTAAGGGACATTGTGTCAAGCCAACGCATAATGACTTATTGCTAAACTCTGAGTGGTGTATCTCTCAACCTTCAACAGAGAAACAACTTCTTGTAGTAGCCAGACATTAACATAAATCCAAAATTAGCCAAAGTGCAAATAAGAGAGCACAAAGTGCTCAACCCCGTATGAGACACCTGTGTCACAATCCTCCTCCCAAGGCTCAGGGACTTTTGTGGAAGAGGGGATGCAAACGGGGTAAGAACCAGGGCCAGTGGATGACTTCAATAAAAGTGCCTTCTGAACACAGCTACACACATGGACTCAAAGAGGTTGTGACAGAATTCCCAGGGCTTACCCAAGCTTAAGCCAGATGTAATTCCAACGTGGAGTAGAGAAATGGGTATGGAGTCCCATCCCCAACAGATAAATTCTGGAAAAGAGAGTCACTTTAAGAGGATGACCTTATTGCTGGTCACTGGTGGCACATAACTTTAATCCCAGCATTTGGGAGGCAAAGGCAGGCAGATCTCTGTGAGGCCAGTCTGATCTACAAAGGGAGTTCCAGGACAGCAAAGGCTACACAAAGAAACACCATCTTGAAAAAAATGAAACTTTAAGTAGGTGGATGATTGTTGGTGATATTCTGTTTATGATCTAACATATAAAGCTTGCCTGAAGATCAGTGCAAAGCTAGGCACAGCCATAGAGGCCAGGCAGTGGTGGCACACACCTTTAATTCCAGCACTGAGAAGACAAAGACAGACAGATATCTGTTAGTTCAAGGCCACTCTGAGCTACACAGAATTGATCCAGTCTAGAGGGACAGAGCTCACACTAAGGTGATCTCAGCACTTGGGATCCCATACCTTTAATCCCAGAACTTGGGAGGAATATATAAGGCAGGAAGAGACAGGAGCTCAGTGCAGTCTGAGGTTTGGTGGAGACAGATGAAGTCTGGAGACGCAGGATTGCCCTTCAGTCTGAGCATTGGTAAAGGTAAGAACTCTCTAGTGGCTGGCCACTTTGCTTCTCTGATCTTCAGCTTTCACCCCAGTATCTGACTCTGGTTTTTTATTATTAATGCCAATTTGAATTCATGCTATATCTAGCACCCAACTTTTGGGGTACAAATTCACGAAAAGGCCATTTGCCTGTGGCTTTGCAGCCACCAGCGTAGGCTGGAGCTACACGAAGCTGGAATTACTACCCTACCCTCTTCTCTCCTGGTGGGCTTTCCCTGGATCCCTTTCTCAGGCTGCTGCCAAACTAGGTAGCTGCCTTGAAATCTGGCCAGCCTTTCACTGTTCTATATGGCAGCAGTCAGCCTCACATCTTTGTCATCATCGGTGGAGATTTGGTGAAACCACTGGGAATTCTAAAAGGGAGGAATTAGTCAAAAAAGAGGTTTTTTCCACATTAAAAATGGGAAACACTGTTACAATGGAGAAAGTTAGGTCTCTGTATGATTACACAATGGATGCTTTAAAATTGGAACAATTAAATGAAGGGATAATCAACTTAACCGGTATTGACATACTCTTAATTATCATTTTGATAGTCCTTGTTGTTAGTTTGATAATTCTGGGTTTATCTCTTTAAAAAGTTGGTTGATTTGAGTGTCAAGATTCAGGCCTTAGGAAAACTTATTAAAACAGATCATAAAGATATCTGAAATTGGTTCTCCTTTAAATTCCTCTGTCTGAATTTGAATTTCTCTATGATCTGTTTTAATAAGTTTTTCCAAGACAGAGGAATTTAAAGGAGAACAAATTTCAGTACTGTGTTATAAGGCTAGAGAAGAACAGCCTAAGGTTTTCAAACAACCAACCTTGACATATCCAGTAACCTTACAGGAATTCCCAAGTGAGAGAGGCTCTGGAAGAGCTAACTTGGACTCCCATGCCAATGTTAGATTTAAGGAGGTTCAAAGAAGCAATAGTTTCTCATATGTTATGCATTCACCACTTGTGAAGCTGATGTTAAACTATGGTCAACTTGCAATAGAATTATCCCTAGAGACTGGAGAGACTTGGTTAAAGCTGCTTTAGAGCCTGGTCCGCAGTTACAATGGAAGACCTGGTGGAAAGGAGAGGCTAAGACCATTGAGCAACAACGAAATAGGGCTAAAAGTATGGAAATCTCCCAAGATGAACTTCTTGGAGGAGAGTATGCAACTACAGCAAGGCAATCTCTGTATGATGACCACACCCTGGATTTATGCCGCACAGCAACTCTGAACGCTTGGGACAGAATTGGAGAAAGCAGGAAAGAAAAATGAGTCATTTACTGAAGTTATACAGGACCCAAAGGAAGCCTTCACAGATTTCTTACAAAGACTGACCTCAGCAGTAAATAGAATGATACCAAATTCAGAAACTAGACAAATAATAATCAAATCTCTGCCTTTTGAAAATGCTAATTCTCAATGCAAAAGGATAATTAGGCCTTTAAAGGCAATCAGCACCTTTGGAGGAATGGATCCAAGATGCAATCAATATTGAATCTCATTACCAAAATGATGCTTGGTTAGGAGAGGTGATTTCCAGGGATTTAAAGAAAATTCGAAATGTCAAATGTTTTAATTGTGGTGAACAAGGTCACTTTAAAGGGGACTGTAAACAGAGTGTTCCTAGAGACAATGCTTTTTCTAAGCATAATCCAAACAAATCCCCCCCCCTTTCTGGATTTGCAGAAGGTGTAGCAAAGGCAGGCATTGGACTAATGAATATAGACCAACAAGAGACATTCAAGATAAGACTTTGCCATCCAGAAACTCCTTCACAGGCCTCTCAAAGGCCCCTATGCCAAATCTGGATCAGTTGTTTCCTGTCATCATAGAGGAAACTCCTTCTAAGAGCAATTAAAGAACCTAATACCTATTGGAAAAATCCATACTGTTCTGGATGATAGAAGATTTTTAGCGGATAAAGCACTCCTACACAGAGAAGCAAACCCTGTTCAAAAAACAAACAACAAAAGCTCCAAATGAGCTCCTTCCATCCAGCTATGGTTCAGTTAAATAATTCTGTGCTACAACACTAAATATCCAGTTTGCAAAATAATTGTATCTGAAGAGTAACAAATGACATGAATTTGTAAGCACTTAAAATGTTATCATTTCATACTTTAAAAACATTTCATAAGCTAAACATATACAGTGTCCCTTTGTGACTACCATCACCCTCCACCAAAGAAAGGAAGCACGGTGCTAGAGCAGCTAGAAATAATAGATGAAAACAAACAGGAAACAAAGAAAGACTGAAATTTCAGGCTAAGCCTGGCTATCAATCTGCAATTAATGTTACTTCCCAGTAATATACCGATATACTAGCTGGGCACGGTGATACACGCCCATAATTCCAGGACTTAAGCTTGAAGGAGGAGGTTCTCCAGTCCCAGCTAGTCTTGGTTATGCAGCAAGATCCTGTCTATCAAAAATTTTAAATTAAATGCTGATGGCCAATACATAGGAAGATAGCTGCTTTGGTGTTGCTGCTGTTGATTTTAGGTGGGAGTTCTTTATGTAACTCAGGCTGATCTTGAATCTGTAATCATCTTGTCTCAACTTCTCAGACTACATGTACATATATGTACAGTATACCCAACAAACAAACCCATTATTTTAAAACTACAACCAGAGCAAATCTGACATTTGTTATCTGACACAAAAGGAACCTTGTATCTACTCATAAAATGTCAAGGAAAATCCAATAATTATGATATCCTAATATATTCAAGTCTAAAATCAAAGTTTATAATTGGCAATCAAGACTTACTTTCATAATTAAACATTTAAACAAAATTATCATACTTCTAGAGTTTATTGCAACAAAGGTTCTTTGATCATGCTATTTTAACTGTTTCAGGTTATGCCACTTGGAAAGAAGTGAAAACTTTAACAGTATGTAGTATGAACTTATCAGGCAAAGTGTCTAACACAGCAGTGTTAGTCCAATACTTTCCAATGGGGTAAGTATGTCAACAAAGACAAGAGGGTCATGACAATTAGTAAATATCAACAGTCACTGGAGAGCTGGCTTAGTGGCCAAGTCCAATTGTAGCTCTTGCAGAGAAACCAGGTTCAGTCCCAGTCTTCACATGATGGTTCTCCACCACCCATACCTCGTCTAGATGATCCAATCTCTCTCTTGACCTCCTCAGGCACCAAGCACACGTATGATACACATACATACACGTATACAAAAATGAATAAATCTAATAAAAACTTA